AATGCAACAAGTTTAAAACACAAACCAATTCAACAACAGAATGAAGAACAAGGAGGTGAAACACCAATAAAAGATTAGAGAAGGAGAAAGACCAACCTGAGTGATCTCCAGAACCAAGAATCTGCTAAACCTCAAGAAGCTCAAACTTCCAAGCTTTGTTGTGTACGGAGAAAATCAACACAGAAGGTAAGAACAAGCAGCATATACACGCGAAATAGAAATATCAAGAAATCCAGGGCTGGGTCCAAAATAGAAAGGCAGGCAGAATTTGTGTTTCCAATGGAGAGAGTGAATCAAATTGTAATTGGTGTATAGGAATTGCTACAACCCAAGTTGATTACTGATATAGGCATTCTAAATTCATACACTAAAACTCAGAACATGTAGAGGCAGAAGGAGTGAGGGCAGCAATTATTGAAATTGGTAACTGATGACCGAGACGTTATGGATCAGTTACTGTAGAAGGACTGCACTTTCAACTTCCACTGAATGAAGCCAACACCAACGCCAACGCCACTACGAAGCGACTGACATGGATGCCCCAGACGACAAAAACAATGGCTTGATACCTGAGGAGTCGGCTTATATCTAGACCAGCGGGGGGTTGGAAGGGGGCGGTGGAATTTGACCAGCCACGATGGGAGTAAGGGCTTGGGGAGAGGGGATACATTGGTTTGGAATTTGCATTTATTCGGTGGAGAAGGGAGACGGACAGAGTACAGGCTTTACCGAACAACACTCAATCAAATCAAATTGAATCGAATCTTTGAATCCTAATTAGCCAGTATTTGGTTGTAATTTTTGGTTGTAATTTTGTATCTTTTTTGTGAAGTTATAATTTTATTCCTTATTCAAAACAAATAGCACTTTTTTATGAGGTTTTATTTAATTATAATATGTATCCCGCAGATTAACAAATGTCATTTACCACAAATTACATCATTTATCCATATTTTATAAACCATATACAAAAACAATCATCACAATTTTAGATGTACAAATGTGAAACATAATTTTATAAAGTGGGATGGGTTGCACCCTTGAGTTTAGAGAAATACTACCTTAGGCCAAAAAGACACTTGGCAAAAATATTTTTTGCATTGAAGTAGTGATAGAATTAGATGGTGCATGATAAAGTTTTTTTCTTTTTTTCTTATTTGGAGTTCTACGCAAATTGATTACAATCAACAACTAAAACGTCTCTTAGCTCAGTTGGTGTGCTGTCTACCCAGTTCCTTGGAAGAGAATGGGTTAACTTGGCTCTAGCTATCCAATGAGCGGTTTGATTAAAAGCTTGGGATACAAAGAAAAATTACAAATTAAATAATCTTGCACATTCTCCAATATCTTCAAAAATAGTGTTCAGCTCCCATGGTGGCAACCCCTCATTTGAGCTTTAACCGAATGACCTCCTGGCTATCACTTTCCGCTATAGCGTTATTTAGCTACAAGGATTTAACCAACAGACAGGCCTCTCTCACTGCCTTAGCTTCAACTGCTCTACTGACCCGACAAAGAATGATTTCAATTTTTCATCTAATATTCGCCGCCCCGCCCTCTATTGTCTTTGATAACTACCTCCAAAGCAGCTTGCTTAGTACTCACCATCATAGTTTATTTTTTGCTTCAAGGGGTCTGGGGGAAGCCAACCTGATTCACCCATGGAGTTACCTGCAATACCTGTGTTGGTGTTTGCTCTAGGTCTTTCAACCAACTCTACTTTTCCCCATAGTTGTTGGATTTTAAACAAAGCCGAAACTGTGTTGGGAACTTGTCCATTAAAGATAGCCTCATTCCTTGTTTTCTAGATTGTCCATGCCGTCATAGCCACTTTGCTTAAGACGTCTATTACCCTTTGGTTGTTACTCAAATTATCAATTAACTTCACCATCCAGTGTTTGATCGAAGGGATAGGTTCCTCCCAGCTCTATAACCTAATTCCAATCCAACTACATTCGAACAGAAGATGTTCTATTGTCCAAACCACACTCTATAAAGTAATGTTGAATAAGTTGAATTTTACAACTTACATAAACTTAAAAGTAAGAATTGAAAAGAAAAAAAAAATTCTCTCCCTAAAATCACATCTAGGAAGTACCTTATCATTTTTACATCAACCATCCCCAACCAATTACAATTTACTTAATTTACAATTTTCCTTTTTATCCTGAACTTTTAATAAAGCAGCTCATTGGATAGCTAGAGCCAAGTTAACCCATTCGCTTCCAAGAAATTGGGTAAGCATCACACCAATGGAATTAAGGGACGCTTTAGTTGTTGATTGTAATGAATTTGTGTAGATTGAATGAAACTGAATTGTCCAAAAAAAAAAAATCGTACTTTATCATGCACCACCAAATTCTATCACTACTTCAATGGAAGAAATATTTTTGTCCTGTGTCATTTGGCATAACTAAGAATTTCTCTAAACTCAAGGGTGCAACCTATGCCACTGTATAAACTTATACTTGCATTTGTACATTGATGCTGTTCTTATCACAATTGAGCAATGCTATGGATTAAAAGTATACCGAATGATGAGATTCGATTCAGTCTAAGCTCCAAGGCCCAAGGAGATTTCTGGATAATTAGATTAAAAGTATAATGAATGATGGGATTTGACTCAGTCTAAGCTCCAAGGCTCAAGGGGATTTCTGGATAATTGGGGGAGGGGGGGGGGGGAATCACACAGAGTGTTTATAGTGGTTCACCAGCTCGGAAGCTCAGCTAGTCCACTCTTAAGGGAGTCTCTTGCTCCCAAGATCTGTTATTGAGGATGGAGAGATTACACAGTATTCTTGAGGTTGTATATGTCGCCTCCATAGTGAGGACTTTGTACAGTATTTATAACTTAATTCCTAGTTTCATGAAGTCTGAAGCGAGATCTTTGCCAGCCTTCCATAACGTTTTGCTTGATTTCAGTCGTTGGTTAAGGTGGTTAAGGTTCTTACGCCTAGACTATTGTTTAAGGCCGTTAATGGGGCGCTTAGTGGCTATCAGCCGTCTTCCACTCATTCCTTATTAAGGTATAGGTCGGGGGACCCCAAGGTCTGGGATACCTAAGGTGAAAAGTTCATTTACTCCAAGATGATCCAGGTATGACACTTTTAACTTCAAAAGGTAGTTCATAACTTTGAATCACATACTGGCTTGGGCATCGAAGAATCAACCCCCAAAGCTCCCTTCCAATCTCTAACTTCTTTTTCAGGTGATCAAAGTCTAATGAGATGTTTGGGGCGGTGGAGTTGGGTCTTATTTCGAACACAATCAATTTTATAAAATTAATTATTAGGTCAATAAAAAGGGATGAGAGGGGTAGAGGACAGTTCATAGTGGTGACGTAGAAACCATCAACAATATTCCTCATTCGCTCCACAGTTCCTATATATATTAGAGACAGAGATGGGGGAGGGATGGTGAAAGATGGGTGAGTAGGGACCAAGGTGGTTTGTTTCTCCTTGCCTACACAATTCCTACATATTTATAGAGAGAGTGTGTGTAGGTAGGCCCTTAAAAACAACTAAATCAAACCAATAAAATAATCTCCATCAGAATCAAGAACACAAAATCAAAAAAATCTCAAGAACACAGAACAAGAACTTAAGAGACGCAAAGTAGCACTTCGACTTCACAAGAAAGTGCAACTATTCTTTGTGATATGTTGATTCCAGAACCTTTTGTGGTGACAGGGGTGGCCTGGGATTGCCTAGTGGAGGTGGCTCTGTAATTTCTGAAAGAGAAGACAACTGTATTTTATGAAAAAGATGTTTGGGGAGTTGTTTGGTAGTTGGGTTAAGTTATCCAAGTTTGTTTTGTTTAGGTTATTTGTGAGAAGAATTTAGTCATTTTGTCACTTTCGTTGATTTCTACCGGAAGCTATTATTATTATGGGGTGTTAATGTAATATATCAAACGTGAAGGGTCTGTCTAATTAAATTAACAAATTAATATGATCAAAGAACTTTATGAGTGAATTATATTGAAACCTCCTAAAATTTGCCATTGAATCATTTAGTTCCCATGATATTTAAAATATTGTACAAAAATTTCCTAAATTTTGTACGCGAATAACATTTAGATCCTGTCGTCAATGTCCGTTAATGTCCATTAGTATATTTATTTATAAATTATACTCAGACCCCTTAAAGTTTATAAGCGTATAATATTTAGACTTTTCAAGTTTAAAATATTGTATTTACATTAAAAATACTCTAATCAAATATAGAATATCAAATATTATAAAATTTACAACCAAATATTTTATTATATCATTTATTGAAATAAAATCAAAAATAAAAATTTTATTTTTTCAGAAAAAATTATAATTAGTATACAATTATACTATCGATTGAAATAAAACTAAAAAATCAAATAAAGAGTCTAAGTCATTCATAATAGAATATGAATTTTACAATCAAAATTCATGTTATATTATGTCATTTATTAAAATAAAATCAAAAAAAATCTATTTTTTTTCTTAAAAATCATAATTAAAATGCAATTATACTATCTGTATTAAAATAAAATTATAAAATCAAATAAGGGGTTAAACTATAATAAACACGATATCTTCTACCTTAATTGGGATAATTTGATAGTTTAATTTAATCATTTAAACAATTAAATTAAATTTCAATAGATAGTATAATTATATATTAATTATGATTTTTTAAGAGAAAATTAAAGTTTTATTTTTAATTTTATTTTAATAAATCTCATAATTAAATATTAATTTTGATTATAAAATTTAAAAATATTTGATATTCTATCTTTAATTGTAGTATTTTTTTATCTAAATATAATATTTTAAATATTAAAAGTCAAAATATTATATGCTTATAAATTTAAAAGGTTCTGAATATAATTTATTGACGGATATAATAATTGACATTGATAGAGGGATCTAAGTGTTATGCACGTACAATTTTTAGAGATATATATATATACGTACACGCTCTGCCCAAATTTACTCTGCTCTTCTTCCTCACTCAGCCGCCCACCTCTTCCTCTATCTCTCTTTCGGTGACTGCCTTTGCCCAGCGAAACTTCACCGACAACTCTTCTTCCTCACCAGCGACCAGACCACCCTGAGGTAAATTCCAATGCTCATCTTTATTTATTTTTTAGATTTGGATGGCGTAGTTTTGAAGTTGCAATTTCCCACTCTAGTGCCTTTGTTAATTTAGCTTGTGTCTTGAAATTGAAATTGTTGATTCTGATTGTAAAGTGAGGAATACATGTAGAATGAGAATTTATTCTTTCGGACCTGATGCAAAAAGATCTCATTCACAGTGCATAACTGGTAGGCGTAGAATAGGGTCGTGTTTCCCTCAAGACTATTCACTATGCTTGCTCAGTCTCCTCTTATAGCTATTGTGCACACCAACTTCATAATCATTCGTCATGGCATGACAGATCCAGTATTTTTCCAGTAACAAAGGGAATTTACAACATCGCATCAAACCCAGAGGCTCATAATCAATCATTCAGCTTTCTTTTTTTTTTTTTTATTTTGGGAGAGGAATTATAGAATATTAAGAAACGAATCTAGAGATACAAACGCATTGTTTTGCACAATTAGTAATGTAGTTCGCAATAGATTACTAATTATAACAATTAGGGGCACCTCTCAAAATGCTAGAGTTTTTCACAGTTGGCACCTTCCAGTCCCTCGAGCTTGATCTAGATCTTGCTTTGTGTTGTAAAGCTGCCTCTTCTTTGTAATGCTGGCTTTTAGTTGCAACCTCCATTGATGTATTGGTTGGGGTATGCTTGCTAAATGTAGACTTTTGCACTCGATTCGACAAGAATGAGTCCTTATGTGTTCTCAATATTTCCTTCACAGTCCTCAGCCGAAAGTAGGTCATATAAAAGTTTCATGAAGCAATGCAACGTATTGGGGGGCCTCCAATTAGAACTAAAACTGGAAAACCTCCAATTATAGAGTTGGAGTCCTAGTGAAATCAAAGTGACTAAAGAAAATGACAGCCATCAGTAATGATATAAGATCACTTCTAGCAATGACATACCCTTATAAATATCAAAGATCTCCCAAACCCTAACCTTTTGCCTCTTCGACGACCCCCTGCTTCCCTCCCCCCCCCCCCCGCTCTCTCTCTCCCTCATGTCACAGCCCAACGACGCCAAAAGCAGCAGCTCCATTCCTAGTCTTCGTCGTTGAAGGTCTCTCCTTCAAGGTAGACTAATCAGTCTTCGTTTTCGTGTGCTTTTTTTTTTCCACTTGCTCAGTTCTATGGTTATGAATCCGATCAGAAGTAGTTTTCTGATTTATGGTGTGGGATCTTGCAAGGAGCGGTGCCCAGCAGTTTATATACACATATTTAGTCTTATTTTTAACCGACGTGGGATCGTAACAGCATATATGTGTTCTGTGTTCACTTTTGTATGTAAAATTGATTTAAGAATTTCAATTGGCGGTTTCTAGTGAATAAAATAATCATTTTCAAAATTGTTGAATTGAAGTATTTGACGGTCAATTGTTTTTGTGTTGTTTATATTCTTATATGTAACATAAATGAAGGTGTATATGTCCGAAGGTGAAGTCCTTATCTTTATCCGTTGTAAAACTGTTTGATGATTTCTTGTGTGGTCAATTTTTTCTTGGAATCTTGTAATATTATCAGGTGGGGATATATATTGATATTTGGTGAAAACGTTAGAAAATGGACAGAATGTGAGGAGAAGCCTCTTTTTTATCTCCCTTTGTATGCCATATGCAGTGCAAACTAGGACTTTGGTCCATTATCTGAACTTGGGGTTTCCGAGGAAGCCCACCTTGACACGGTCTGATGTGGAGCTCCTTGTTGTTGAATGAAAAGGAAAATGGAACTGTATGTTTTCTGTTTGTGTATACATATGTGTGAGACCCTGACAATTTTGTCCTATCCTTGAATAATGTGAATGCCAAAGTCCCAATCGCTGAGATTTTGTTAGTTTTGCTGAAGATGTACGAGTCCTTTATTGTTCTTTCTTTTACTTTTACAAATTGACACTTCAGATATTGAGTGACAAGGGTAGAACTGCTCTTGGGTCGAGAAAGTCATTTTTGCTCATTTTCAGTTAAAAAGTTAGCCTTTACCAATTGTTTTTTTTTATTTTTTTACAAATATTATGATTTGTTTTAGATGGTCTTATTCTTTTTTTCGGTGAACAGGTAAACAGCAATGGCTCAAGAAGCAGGTATGTTCACGGTTCAGCAAACCATTGGCAGTGTTTTGTGCTGCAAATGTGGTGTTCCGATGGCACCAAATGCTGCCAATATGTGTGTGAAATGTCTGCGTTCTGAAATTGATATCACAGAAGGTTTGCAGAAGCATGTTATCATCATTCACTGCCCCGAATGTGATACCTATTTGCAGCCACCAAGAACTTGGATCAAAGCCAAACTAGAATCAAAGGAGCTGTTGACATTTTGTGTGAAGAGATTGAAGAATTTGAATAAAATCCATTTAGTACATGCGGAATTTATATGGACCGAACCTCACTCAAAGAGGATCAAAGTTAGGCTGAGAGTTCAAAAGGAGGTGCTTAATGGGGCAATACTAGAACAAGCTTATACTGTTGAGTATGTAGTGCAAGACCAAATGTGTGAATCTTGTACTAGGGTTCAAGCCAACCCTGACCAATGGGTGGCTGCAGTGCAACTACGTCAGCACGTTTCTCACCGGCGAACTTTCTTCTATTTAGAACAACTTATTCTTAAGCATGATGCCGCTGTCCGTGCCATAAGAATCAAGCAGATGGATCAGGGAGTTGATTTCTTTTTTGCTAATCGGAGTCATGCTGTGAAGTTTGTAGAGTTCCTGGGTAAAGTTGCTCCAATTAAGAGTCGTCATGACAAACAACTTGTATCGCATGATACCAAGAGCAATAATTACAATTATAAGTACACCTTTTCTGTTGAAATCTGCCCAATTTGTCGTGAGGATCTGATTTGTCTACCTCCAAAGGTTGCAGTTAGTTTGGGAAATCTTGGTCCACTTGTGATCTGCACGAAGGTGAGTAACACCATTGCTTTGCTGGACATTTTTACTCTGAGACACTGTTTCATGGATGCTGACCAATATTGGAGGACAGCTTTTAAGTCCCTGCTTTCGAGTAGGCAGATTATGGAATATATCGTGTTAGATGTGGAGCCTGTTTCTTCTGAAATAAATGTTGGTGGTTCAAAGTATGTTTTAGCCGATGCCCAAGTAGCTCGTGTAGCAGATTTTGGGAAGAATGATACACTGTTTACCGTAAGAACACATTTAGGTCATATTTTAAATCCTGGGGATTATGCTATTGGTTATGACTTATATAGGGCTAACAGCAATGATATTGAATTGGACAAGTACAAAGGTCTTGTTATTCCAGATGTGATTCTAATAAAGAAGAGCTATGAAGAGAAGCGCCAGAAGAAGCGGGGGAAACCGCGTGCATGGAAGCTTAAATCTCTTAACATGGAAGTCGAGGACTCTGCTAAAGCTACTGATGAAGAGAAGAGGAGCTCAGAATACGAACAGTTCTTGAGAGACTTGGAGGAGAACCCTGACATGAGGTTCAATATATCCTTGTACCAGAATAAAGAATACCAACCATCAGAAATGGCCTCCATGACTGACGAGGAGGATGTTCCTTCGATACCTTTAGAGGAGTTGCTTGCAGATCTTGATCTAAGTGAGGAGGAAGCTCAGAATGATAGCATGAACGAGTAAATTGACGTGGTATATTTTTTTTTTCTGTTCATTGTGGGGGAAGTATTGTCAAATCAATAGTTTAGATGTTTCAATATGATTACTAGTTCCTTGTTTTCTCTGTTATAGATGTTTGATAGAAATTTGATGGAAAGTTGTGTTACTCTACTAGCCCCTCCAACTATGCGATTGTCTTTTTGTTTGTCTCAAAATCTAGCGGCGCGAGGATATTTTTTGTTAAAATTGTAACAAGCATTTGATTCTGGGACAATGTGGGGAACTCAATAGTGGAGGAGTGCTGTGAGATTGGGGTTGTAGTTTAAGGATGTAGGATGGTTCTGTTTTTCCACCTAACTGATCTAAGGACTTTTTCCCTTTTTATTCTGATTCATTAAAAGGGTGCTGCATAACATATGGTAATGGTGTTTGGTAAGGCAGCATAGTTTTTAGTGTATGTCATGGCAGCTGTGTCTGCTCAGGATGTGGTCTCATAGTTTTCTAGACAGGGAGAGTAATTTCATAAGACCTGAAGCCAATATCGATTGATCTCTGTAAACCTGGTGGATGAGGGAGAAATTTACCAATAACATCCTATCCTGCAGCACCTCATTACACTGGGACAAAGAACGAACAACTGCGACCTTCTACTCTCTTTCCTTTCAAACGAATCCATGGACTTGGCAATCTCAGGCTCTAATGGATCGCTTCATCTGGAGGACTTCATAATTCCTTTCAAAGAGACTTCTGCTTCATTAGAGTTCACATCTGGTGCCAAGTTTTTGGATCTCCACATTGGTTGGAATGTAAAACCCAAGAAAGTTATAAGTAAATTCTGAGCTTCCACAAGAGGCTATGATGGTTCAGGACTTTGTGGAACTGGTGAAGAGCATTAAACATTCGGGCTGCAAACCAGATGGCAAATGGCCTGAGATTAGCAGAGTGACTCAATTGGTAATGGATGCTGTAAATAATTCTATAGATCTTGGTTTTAAACCTGTTAGTATGTAATTATCTGGTCATTATTGGCTTTCAGTAATCATAAAGAGAATTTATGACATGGTGAGAAATTTACGAATAGTGGGCATTAACAACAATTCAACGAGTGTAATTACCCGTTTCTCTCTCTCTCTCTACCTAGTATCACTGGGGAAAGAACCCATATGATTTTGGTGTACTTAGTACCTGCAGTTATATTGACTCGTTGTTAAGCATTGATCACTATGGATCCGGGAAGAAGCCTTTCTAGGATAAGGTTTCTTGTTAAAGAAATGCATAGAGAAGGAAATGAAGCCCGTGAATAACATGAAATGATAAATCAACGTTGGTGGTTGATAATAGTTATTAGTTTCTTGTTGGTACATTTGACACATTGCAAGTGATTCTTGATAGGATAAGGTCAGAGTCTTTACTCGGTTTCTGTTGTTAGCTCCTCAAAACCCTTCCATTCCAAATCCTTAGAATACGGCCAAAGACTCTCCCTCCAACTCCACCAATCAAGAGATAAAGCTCACCACAACCTCCTAAGCAATGCTATTCGAATTTAGAGGATGTATTTTTTTATTTTTTTTTAATATTGGATTAATAGTGGGGTTTGACATTTATAAGTCCATTATTTATTTCATTGGCACTTGGGTCTGAAATTTGGTGCAAGTGCGTTGTTGTCAACGACCAAATATTGGGATCCAAGCTCATGACTGATAGAATCCGAGGATACATTCTACTCCATTTGTGACTAAGCCGATGAGGCTCTTTGGCACTCAAGGCAATCCGTTTGTTTGGGTATTGGGGAGATGTATTTATGATGTTTGAAAATATGCCACAAAGAGATGTTTGTTTATTGGAACTCATTGATTGCCGGGTTTGTTCGAAAAGATAGTCTTTGAGGCTTTTAAAACTTTTACGAGGATGCAAAAAGTGGGTATGGGGTTTAGCTGGGTGGCCAGAGGATGAAATTGATTGCAAAACGTGTGTTCTACTGCATTCTTTGGTAGAATGGGAGTTGCGTTCTGGTTGAATGCTACTTGAGATCACCATGCTTGTTCATTGGATATATAAGGTAGAGCTGGGAGAATCGGGAAAGCACTACAGTTATTGAAAAGCTGGTGGGGTTTATTACTCTTCGTACCACCTTTGCTGCAATGTTTCTCTTGCAGAGGTCATTGCAAAATGGT